TCCTGCAGTGGGCCAGATGCAGCCCCAGTTCCTTCCTGGCATGGGGCTTCCTTTGGGTGGGCAGGCCAACACAGGGTTCCAAGGTCTCGTGGGTCAGCAGCAGTCACCGCCAGCACAACTTCCAAGGCAGGATAACGTTCTTGGGAGGCTATTTGCTGCAGCAGCACAGAAGAACACGCCTCCCAGTGCTGGCATACTGAATCTGGGACTGGGTGCTCCACCTGCTCCCAACATGTCGTTTCCAGGGATGATGCAGCAACAGCAACAGCGCCAGGCTGCCAATCCCTTGGACAGGCTCCAAGGCCTTGGGGCTCTCCAAGCTCAGGCAGCTCTGGGCGCTCTGCAGTTGCAGGGGCTGCAGCAACAACAGCTGCTGCAACAAAGGGCCCTGCAGCAGCAGCAACTGCAGGTGCTGCAGCAACAGCAGCAACAGCAGCAGCAGCAACAGCAGCAACAGCGGCAGCAGCAGCAGCAGCAGCAGCAGCAGGCCCCTGGTCCCCTGCTGGCAATGCAGACTGGCATTATGCGAGAGCAACCACCCCTTCAGCCACAAAGGGCAATGGACTCCGAGGAGGAGATCCCAAACCTTTTGTCAACTCGCAGTGCGCCTGCTGCTCCTGATCTGCCAGACAGCGAGTGTGATTCAGAGAAGGGCGACAGGCCCCCAGCAGCCAAGTTGGAAGTGCAAACTGGCAAGGGAGACGGGGTTGTGGCAGCCCTGCCGGCTGTGTCACCCAGTCATGCTCCACAGCTTTTGGAGCAGCAGAGTCCAAGGTGCCTGTCAGCGAGTGCTGCAGCTGGTGAGCAGGTTGTGCCCCCTTCTGTATCCCTGAGTTTGGGAATATCAGATCAGGCTCTGGTTGTGGGTGGACCTCAGGTCTCTGTACCTGCTCCAGGCAGTCTCCAGGGGAGCTTGCCTCAGAGCCAACTGGGGTTCTTGCAGCAAGGGAGTCCTCATGCAAACCAGGGTGTGCCTGCCCTCAGTCCCAGCATGGCAGTGGCCCCGCAACACATGGCTGGTCTTCAGAATTATGGTGGCAGGGGCAATGCTGTAAGATCACAGGGCATGGGTTCACTCTTCTCCCAAGGCGGGGCTGCTGGTCCACCGGGGCCACCCCAGCCCTTGATGGGGATGCCGCCAATGAATGTTGGGGGCCAAGGCAATGCTCAACAAGGTGCGGGGCTGCAGTCGCCCTTTGCAACTGAAGGTGGGAAGCCAGGTCCCCCCTTAGATGCTCAGCGCAGTCTTCTGTTGGACCCCTTGGCCAGCCTCCAACAGGAAGCGATGTTCAGTGCTGCGGGTCTGCCAGGCGAAGCACATGTTGGTGGTCGCCTGGGCTCAACGGGTTTGGGAAATCCAGGGATGCCTGGCCCAAGAGGTATGATGGGGCCAAGCAGATGCTTGCAGAGTGGCAGAATAGTGGAGGAAGCTCCTTGATAGGGCAACAACCATGTGCCAGTGGTGGCAGGGATCTGGATCGTACTTTGCAGTGTATCTGCTGTGCACCACTGTGTTTCAGTTTTCAGCATGCAGGAATTGTGCTGCCGTTGGGCAATTCTAAAGAACAGCATCGGCAGCAGCAGCAGACCACTGGCTGCTTTCTCATTTGTCACATTGCGCCATTTTGCCTGTGCCCGATCAGAAACAACAAGTTCAGCCATGCTTATGTGCCGCAGGTGCGCTACCCAACCTATTGCTGCAACAGCAGGCCAATCCAGCGATTATGGGCCAGTTGCAGCCACAAGGTGGTGGGCTGCCTCTGATGGCCAATATGCAGCAGAACCCATTCTTTAGACCCCAGCAAGGGAATCCTCTCATTTCTCATGATCCTGGACTCCCCATGGCAAGAGGCAGCGCACAACTGGGAGGCAGCTTTCCCAATGGCCTGTTGCGCCCTGGTGGTCAAGCAATGAGACCACCAGCAGCCATGCTGTCGCCGTACAGTGCCCCAGGGGCGTCTCAGAATCAATTCTTAGGGCATGCACAGATGCATGGTGCAATGCAAAGTCAACAGGTGGGTCCTTTGGAGAGCCAGCAGTGACTGCTACAATTTGGGAGTCACAACTGCTTGTATTGGAAACATTGCCTCCCATCATTGAGTTTAGGCTTATGCAATGGGCAGCTTTTATGGCTATGTCCCATGGTGCCTTCTGAGTGTCCTGCTGTGTTTGTTATGTGCCAATGCAGGCCCAGCAACACTTGAGAGAATATCTTGTTGTGCTTCTAAGATTTGTCTCTTGGTCAAATACTGCTCCAACGGTGCCTATGGACACATGACCGTAATTAGGATCTTTGGTGATAGGCACTGTGCTGACGAACATCACTGGAAGGGAAGCTTGTTTTATACCCGGCTCATTTGCACCCCCTGGTATGTGCGATGACTGCTGTCACTGTGGCCAATAGGATCCTATGCTGGTGCACCCCAATGCACTTGCACAGCTCCAGGGAATCCCAAATGGCCAGGGCGGACAGCCAGGACTTGAGAGGTTTTTCAACTTGAATGCTGCGGGTGGACTGCAGCCTGCGAACCTGCAGCCCAAGCCTGTGCAGGTGGGGTGGGCTGCGGCAGCTGCAGCTCCTATTCATGTGATACTTGTGCTGCTGTTTGTTTGGAGTGTTCTCATCCATCGGTGGGTACCCCGTGGGCATATCTGACGTCGACTTGTGGGCAGTGGTGTGCTGAATTAACCCCGCGGTATTTAAAATACTTGGCCGTCAGTCAAGCCACGCCCGCCCACAGTACAGCCCAAAGCACGGCGGCAGCCCGCAACGCATCGACAGGCCCACTGCCACGCTGGCGTTCAAACATGCCCTTTTCGCGCAGCGGCAAGCCTCGCGGCGCCCGCTGCGCGCCCCTCGGACGAAGGGTAAAATTGGGACACGGGCGATTGGCGTCTCTTGCTCGGGGCGCCTCGCGAAGTTTGCCGCCATCTGCAGCGAAGCGGGCGTTGGGGCGGGAGTTGGGCGACCTGGGGTTACGAAAGCCGTGACCTCCAACTGGTAAACATACCTGCTAAAATAATGTGGATGCAGCTGCATGTGTCAGCACTAAGATATGCATGTGTGTGGAGTGCAGTTTGTTTAGTCACATGGATACATGAGTGGATGTGTCAGTGTGGGGACAGATGCGATGCGAGGAGCTTCAGCGGCTGACAGCACTTGTGCTGGTGTCTTAGGTGCCGCAAGACCGCCAGCGCGCCTTGGAAGAGCTCGCCAGGGGTATGGCAGCGAGGTGATTATTCATCTGCTGGGTCTTGGGGCATTCGTATCTGCAGGATGAGTGGCTTGCTTTTTGATCTCCGGGTGGTTTTCTTACAAAAGGCAGCTTGTGGTGCTGTGAACTGTGGCACGTGTCACATTCAAGGCCACCCATTCCCTCCCCTGAAAAGCTGGTTCAACATGCCCCTCGGGCTCGAACTATTGGTAATGACCTGCATTCTTTGTAATCGTTTTGACGTTTTGACGTTTTGACGTTTTGACATCCCCTGGGTATGTTCAGGAGACCCCAATTGGTTGCTGTGGCTGTTATCAGCCCAGTCCTGCTTGGCTTGGCTGTAGGTGGGTAGGTCAGCGACATGGCAGTGTGAGTGGTTCTGCTCTTTGACATGCCATTGTGCTGAGTAGGAAAGGGCGTAATGTACATTATGCTGTACCACAAGCCAGGCAGCAGTTTTGTGGCCCATCATGAGGCATGCCTGGCGGTCTTTCCGAATTACATGATGTCCGCTGGAGGTTCTTAGTTTTTTGAGAATTGGGCCAGGCGACACAGTCGGCAGTGCAAGCAATGGGTAGCTTAAGTCAACTATGGGGCCGGGCACGGAGGACCAGTTGGTAAATGCCTGGTAAGTAGGAGTCGTGGCTGCTTCAGCGTGGGTGCTGGCGGCTTTCTAAGATGTCCAAACGAGTTATAGACAGGATGTCCTGTATGCAAATTCCCTGGGGCCGAAGAAGCAATGGGCAGGTGCTGTCAGAAGTGCTTAAGGAGCTTGGTGTCTTGCCAAGAGTTTTGGAATGGGTGGCCGGAGGTCGACGAGACGGCGCCTGGATTACGTGCGTGTTTGTGAGCTCTTACATTACCGCTTTGGTTTTGTGCGGCGCTTGGGGGTTTATTGTGAAGTGCTCGTCATTATCGGATGCTATGGCTGTAGGCACATCTTGGGCGCTTTTGGGTCACAAGAGTATGCTATGGTGCAACACCATTAGCAGTGTTCCACCCTGGGCCACCAGAAACCTGCAACTTGATAGGTGTTGTTGGCTGTTTAGCAGACTATAAAGGTACCCTGACCGAATCCCACAGGACCCAACGAGTAAAGAAAATGATCGAAGGCCGTTTCTTCCATTCTTCGGCAAGAGACCAACCGTCAGCTCCTGGACAGGCCCTCCATATATGCCCTTGACCAGTTGGCGGGGTTTGCTGTAGGCGAGGCGTTGGCATACCGTCAGAGACGTGCAAGCAGCCACAACCGCTCACCAGCAACGCACCTTGAGGCGAGCAGTTCACATGACCAGCTGTATTTGTACGATGTTCGATGTTCTTGTCCCTTTTCCTGGTGCCACCAGACTGTTGATCCCGTCCAGCACGAAAAGGGTTGGTTCCAACCAGGCCAAACTGCACGTTGTACACATCCAACTCATTAAATTCAATTCTGTTGCCGTCACCAGCCAGGCAAAAATTGCGTCTCACCTGTATGACGCTGAAAGCGCACCCAGCACTTGCTAAATTGACGCGGCCCCCCCCCGAGACAGCCTCGCAGTCAAATGACCCCATCGCGACAGACGCTGGCCCCCAGGCGTTAGGTAAACCACCCCAAGTTGTACTACAAGCCTGTACGAACGCGGTGGTCCCCTCGCGTCTCGACCTGGCATGCCCGACAGTGCCACAATCTTGATGCCTTGGCCCGCGAGATCCAGGGTGCTTTGGGCCCTTCATGGGCACGGCGCGACGCCTGCTTTTCGCGCGTTTGGTCCCGTGGACGGCCCGAGACGCACACACTCCGGCATGCAGCCTCGCGGTTGCTGCCACCTGGGCTCCCCCTACGGCCCGCCGCACAGCTTGGCAGCCGGGGTGCCCCGCAGGCAATGGCGAAGGGGGGCGTCGAGACCGACGATAGTGTGCGGGCTGCAGGTGGGCGCACTCTGTCCTCCTGTTGCCGCGGACGAAGTGCCACGAATCAAACCCCTCAGTATGGGCTCGAAACGCCGTTTGGACGAATGCACCCCTCAAATCCAAATGGGCAGTTGTGCAGGCGCCGGGAATGCTCGTGGGCTGCTCACTTGGTATGGGCGACAATTCTCCCACTTCAAGTTTGCGTCTAGACTTTCAGTGACGCTTCCAGGGCGGAATGGGCTTTTTACCACCGTGGAAAGGCCCTGAGCGACCGTTGGAGGCTTTCGTTGTCGTGGCGCCGTTGTTGGTGCTGGTTGATCGGATCGAAATGATTTGGGAGAATATGGCACCTGACGTTGCCTGTTGTGCAGGCTGGCAGTGACCTGGTAAAGAGCGGGAAAGTACGGGCGGTTACGGCACAGGAACTTAAGGCCCTCTTGGACAGCGGCTACAAGGTGCGATGCCGGCTGCTCTCCACTTTTATGGTGGCGCCGGGAACCGCAATCCGTGATCTGCGCCACTGCCGACCCCGACATTATGATGTTATGCTGAGACTTGAGCGCACTGCACTTCCTGAATTCACTTTGGTCTGTGTTTGTTGACGTCTGGATCAATTGCCCACTTGGGTGACAAAGCCCATTCAGCTCATTTACAAAGTTGATGGCAAATTTGGGTTAGTTTCTGCAAGGGAATATACTGGGCGGTGAAATACATAATAGTTGCAGGAAAAGTGTTGAATTCTTCAGCTCCAACTGAGGTGCTGCTTGGCGGGTTTTGCTGAACTCAAGTCCAAACCTCCTGGTGCGAAGGTAGAACTTGGAGAACCTTGGGTGAGGCCATTGTTGTATTACCTGGCTTCCATTGAGATTTGTTTGAAATGATCACGTCCTGCATCCCCAGTTTGCTTTCAGCAACGATTTGGCACACCACCCATGTTCATTGCACCTAAGGGAGTTTGCCTGCTTCATGTTCAGCTGCTGGATGTGCGACCAGAATATGAATATGAGCGAGCAAGGGTGAAGGGGTCCCTGCATTGCCCTTTCTTCGTCGAAGACAAAGGCACCGATCCACTGACCTGGATAAGACGGGCAACACATGCTGGTACTCTTAGATAATCGAGAAAGATTGCACTGAGATCATGGCCTCCCTAACATATTTTGCTGCGAGTCAGGGGAATTATTCAGCTGCTTGTGCCCAATCACTGTGCCCAAACGGCTCCCTTTAAATGATGGGCACAGTAGAAGCATCGCATGTTGCACTCTCATGGCTCAGTCTCTTCAAACATTCTTTTGTTTGCACAGGGTACAGTGGTATGTGGAATGGAGTACCACTGATGGCACCAAATGAGAATTTCTTATGTGATGCTGAGAGAGTTCTGCAAGGGAAAGACGACATGCAAGTGGTTGTGGCTTGTGGAATGGGACTCAGGTGTGTGCATGTCCATGTGTGCATCAGCAGTGTACTGTTGCTGCTTCAGGTCAGTGCAGTTGTTTCCAGTGGGTTCCGGTCACATTGCTTGCATGTTGATGTGCAATAGTGCCAGTTATCACTGGTGCATCGACAGTGTGGTGTGTCAATGAAACTTTGTGCCCTCTTGCCAACCCGCGTCATATCAATGGGGAACTCTGTTTGGTTGCCCAGAACTCAAATGGCCACCAAGCTCACATAGCA